ATCTATCTATCTATCTATCTATCTATCTATCTATCATATTTATATAACTGCCCATCTCACAATCACGTGACTCTGGGCAGCATACTACACAACCACAGTTAAAGACTCCGTAACAATCTAAAAACAATCAAAAATAAATAAAATGAACATATAAAAAAACGTACAAAATAAACAAATAAAACCCAAGAAAGTGAGAGAACAAACATCACTTAATCTCTTACAGCCACCTTGCAGGCTCTCCCTGGGTTTCCTAAGGTTTGTGGAAAAACCATGTTTTGAGGGCCTTCTGGAAGGCTCACAGAGATGGGGCTAACTCACCTCGGGGGGAATGATGTTCTAGAGGGTGGGGGCCACAGCAGAAAAGGCATGCCACCTGGGTCCTACCAGATGGAGCTCTTTGGGAGACAGAACCTGTAGCATCCCCCTCCTGCCTGACCTGGTAGGATCCGTAGGGTCCCTCAAATAACCTGGCCCCATGCCATGTCGGGCTTCAAAGGTCAAAACCAGCACCTTGAATTGGACCTGGAAGCAAACTGGCAACCAATTTCAGTCTTTGTTGGAAACAACCAAGTTCGGAATTCCAACTTGTGACTCTCGTTCCTGCTTCTTGTTCGTTGACTCTTGGACCAGCTGACTTCCGGATTTAGCACTCTGTGACTCTTGGAACGTATTGGGACTACTCTTTTGGTTTCTTGGATTATAATCAGCACTTTTCAGGCAAGCGCTCACTACTGGGTATCTGAATTACGATTCCGTCTGCTGTGAGCTGCATAAACTGTAGTAAATATGTCAACTTCTTTGCAACTGTGTCCGTGTGTGCGCGCGCCTGCAACCTCGAAACAGAACACATTGTCTGTTCTCTGACCTGGTCTACATTAAAGTCCTTCACACTCGTTTTGGGAGGGTGGCCTCTGCCCCACTGCTTAAAGACCAAGGGTGCCCCTTTGTCTCACAAACGTTGTTGATCTCTGCTCTAGGGCTGGGTAAAGTACTGTTACGTCACATCTTGGTCTTTCCCTGAGAGATGTTTATGAAAGAGGTAGATCAGGCTAACGAGGAACAGAGCACTGAGAATTATTTATTAACATCTCCACACCCCTTTCCCAGCATTACATGTCCCAGAAAGGGAATGTGCAAAAAGCAAGATAATCCAACCCAAAGTCTTCTCCAAAGTCAACCCACTGAGTTTGGGTCAAAGGAAGGGCCTGTAACAAACTATGTGTTTTATGTGTGTAAAAAGCATATATGGTAGATATAAGTGCATCGATGTGAATAAATACTGAACAAGTATGAACACAGCATAAGATTGCCCCTTATACACTAGCAGTGTTTCTCAACCTTGACAACTTGAAGATGTTGGGGTTTTTAATTCCAGAATTTTCCACGCCACCCTGCCGGGCGGGGGGAGTGGGGGGAGTTTTGCCCCCCACCATTTTAAATTTTGTCAAGGTT